TACGCTTAGGCCTACCGTCCACACTAATCCGTCACGAAAACGCAGCTTTATTTCTACGGTTAGGCCTACCGTCCACACTAATCCGTCACGAAAACAGCTTTATTTCTACGCTTAGGCCTACCGTCCACACTAATCCGTCACGAAAACGAAGCTTTTCGAAGACGCTCTTCAAACCTTAAGAATTTGAAAACGCCAGCTTTTCGTTTTCCTGTGAACGGAAAACATTTTGAAAATGGAGCAATTCGGAAACGATGGCGTGAGGAAAATCATGTGATTTCCCTCACCGAGGCTCTCTTAAATACAAATCGATCTCAAATGAGCGGTGATTGTTGCGTTTTTAAAATTCCTCCGGCTTAGTGTGGACGGAAAATATTTGATGAATTTTCTGAGCGAAGCCTCCGTTTTCAGCTTTTAACGCATTTTTACTTGCACAGACTGTGTATTGCTTAAGCTTGCAAAGTCTTCCTAGCGTTACCAGGTCTGTTTTTACAGTCAAACCAAGTGAAGCGTACCCCTCAAGATTACATTAATGAATTAATTATTTGAATATTGGATCAGCTAATCGTTTCAAAAATGCAATAATGAATTGATTATTTGAATATTGAACTCGCCAGTCATTTCAAATATCAATGTTAAATTGATTTTTTTGAACATTAAATCCATTAGCCGTATTCTTGGACCGACTAGTGGGTTCAATTTTCCAAAGATCAATCCATTATTGCATGCTTGAAACGACTAGCGGGTTTAATTTTCAAGTAATCAATTCACTAATGTAATCTTGAGGGGTACGCTTCACTTGGTTTGACTTTAAAATGGGAAAATTACTCAATTCGATCAATATGTAAACCTCGGGATGTCCGGGGGGGGGGTACTTTACAAAGTCCTATACGGAGAGGCTTCCCCCTTCGGGGTCCAGCCACTTGCCATTTTGCATACCATTTTGACAGAAAAGGTGCGTTCCCCTTTCATATACCTTTAATTGAAGAAGGCACCCCTTTCACATACTTTCACAACCGGTCCGTATTATGAATATATCGCCAAAAAAGGAAGTCTTCTTGTCATTTTCATGTAGTGCCTACTAAATGAAATGATACAGCCACAAGGTGTGTCTGTTCGCAATATTTTAATAAAAGGCTCTTTAAAATAACTAACTGAATGGATTTCCCTATCTTTTTATATGCCTCAACTTGTAAAATCCCTACCCTTTTATATACCTGAATTATAGGGAGTAGCCCCACTCCCGGAGGTGAACAGGTCGCCTTACATGCAACTGTCACTCTGATATTCTGCTTCTAGGTACTGTATTTAGCCACTAACCTCCAAATCCTCAAGGATTTTGTTGAAATCAAGTATACACAGAGGCGGCCTAACGACACTGGATTGGGCTTCGTCGTCGGACACAACTATTGGTTTTTCATCGAGCGTCTCGATCGAACACGAGTGCTTCTTTTCTAAAGCGGTCAACACGTGCTTACCGATACCTTCGGCGAAGAACTTGCGCAGGCCTGGCTGCCTTAGACAGACTGTTGCCACGCTAACATGGCTGGCGACCTCAGTGATGAACGCCTTAAGGTTGCTGGGTTTTTCGTTCGTCAATTCGATGGTGCTTGGGACTGGGTCACCGTCTGCAAGCCTTTCTAATGTTCGTTTGAACTGTTTTAGCCCCTTCTTAAAGCGTGGAAATTCGCGAGGCCCGTGCTCTGTCAAGTACGCCAAAAGAGCACTTTTCTTGTCGCCAAACTGCCAATACATATCGGAACCTACGTTCCATTGCACGCTGTAAACCTCCTCTAGTTGTCCTTCAGCAAGTGGCGGCGACAAAGCTTTCATTTTGGATCCTAAATACTCCACGCTGGAATCTGAAGTCCCTTTCCAGGTACGAGTTCCCCATTCTAAATGTAACACAAACGGGCTTCAATAACTTTACTCACTTATGTTCAGGGTATAGCTATAGAAAGTGTGAGCATAACTTGCTAAGTTAAAGTAAACTCCATCTTGTCAAAACAGTAGAACTCTTTAGGGATTGGTCAAACATTAATCACTATTGTTTAACATGATATTTTAATACGTTTATGATATCGCTCGCAAGAACAGCTTTATAGGGTGATTAACTGCTTAGCATAACAACTTTCTTGAAGCCACAGTAGCGAAAAATTTAAAATATAGATGTGAAATACATTGCTGTAATATATTACTGTCAAAGGCAGTCCCAATACTTAACTTGTAAACTCTCATGCAATTAAAATCTCTCTCTGTGTCGTTGTTTGCGAAAGAAAACAAGACGTGTAGTCTGATCTGAATGGATGTACTGGAATCTCAGCTATCACTTCAAAATTCTAGCCATTTTTCATTTATCATTAAATTATACAGTTCTCAACCGAAAGTTAAAACTTTGGCCTGTTCTCAGCTACATGTCCGTGGGGGACTTGCACATGAAAGGGGTGGGGATGTTCGTCGTCTCGCTTAGGGGTGTAAATTTCGGATTTCCTCCCCGGACTACATGTATCAGTCAGTCAACTCCTTCCAGACAATAAATATCGAATATATCAGTTAATTTAAAAGTCAACTAAACTAAGCTCGAGTTCCAGCCGCGTTTCGGGAGACGATCCCGCGGGAACGGCAAAGACCGACGATACGCGAGAGAGCGGCGGAAATCGAACCTAACTTAAACTCGCGATTAAAAAAAATCTCATGACCCTGAGTGAGGATTTTTCTTCTAACAAAGGAAGTGGGATGCGGCAGGCGTTTGCACACAGAAAGCAGACTATCCCAAATAATGACCTAATTATCCGGCATTTGAAAATTCTGGATAGTTCTGCCTGCCGGCAGGGCTTGTTCAAATATTTGCACTAAATATTTTATACAGAGTGTGATATCTAATATGGCGTGCTTTGTAAACCCATATACGCCATATACAAACGCGAACAAGAACGAGATTGGAACACCCTAAGAAGTAGCTAAAAGACACGACGCACCCCCGCCCTTTCCATATGGAAGTTCCCTACCCCCAGGGGGGAGCACAATTTAATCATAAGCATAACGGTAGTGAGGACGCCCACAACACAACCATAGGCATAATTCGTCCTTGAGGCGTTCGTTCCTTACATCGCAAGCTCGACGAAACGAGCGACAGTCGATAGTTCCGTTTACAGGCTAGATTTTGATTGGTTTTAAAAAACAATGGGAATGGGAGGGGAAGGAAGAAAAAAACACCAGCATCTTGATTGAGCCACGTGTTTCTCAGCTACGAATGCGCAATTCAATTTAACCGGATGTCTGATATTTTTGGACCTGAAATCAGATCCTTTCGTTCGTTTCCTGACCGTCGGTCAAGACGAACGAAGACTCTGGTTACGTGGGTGGCATAAGCACATATATGATGAGCACATAAGCAAGCGCAGAATGGATAATAGCCTTGATTTCGGTTCCATAAGTTCTCTATTTTGATCTTTCCCCAGCCTTTAGTGCGTGTTGCCCACGCGCAAGGTTAATATTTCACTAAGCTGCGATCTCCACGAACCCACATTTAAACAAGATGGCGGACGTATAGACCTTATTGATAAATGGCTGCCGATTAAAAATTCTTTTGTAAGTATTAAAATTAGCCCAACTAACCTTGTTTTTGAGCTGATAATTCAAAAAAAATGTTTACTTTCAAACGAGGTTAGTTGGGCTAATTTAAATACATACAAAAAAAATTTAAATTGGCAGCCATTTATGAACAGGGTCTAACGCTTAGTGAATTTGTTCTTCAATTATCACTGGGTGGTATGACGTATTCATACTATTATAACAACGTGCAGCTGTCTTGTTTAAGGTTTGAAAGACTAGTAGATTTATAGCATAAAACCAATTGAAAGGCTGACCGGACGGTTGGAAAGGGTAAATTTAATACCCAACATTTCGGTTAGACAGGACTAACCTTCTTCAGGGGCTACACTGAATTAAGTACTTAGCTTCAGTGTAGCCCCTGAAGAAGGTTAGTCCTGTCTAACCGAAATATTGGGTATCAAATTTACCCTTTTCAACCGTCCGGTCAGCCTTTCAATTGGTTTTATGCTATATTTTACCCTGCTAATCCTGATCTAAACCAAGATCCGCCTTCACTCCGCTGCCGTTTGTACAAGTTCTCCTTGCATTGCAGTTTATCCGATTGTAGATTTATACTAAAACAATAAGATTATTTGTTCTCGATTTCTATGCGTGATGGTTGACTCGCGATCACGCTACGCCCTCGCGCGCGAGACAGCTATCACGCGATAGCAATTGACAGCGAATAATACAATTGTTAAACATTGTTAACACTAAGTTATAAGCTCAAACATTAATATGTCAAGTCACATAGTGCCTACTTACTCATTCTTGCGTTTTTGTTTCAAGGATTCTTCGCTTTTTCAACACATGACCGGCGACAGTCCCTAGGCAAGCACACGAAAGCATGTGTTTCTCCAAGTACATCCCTTGGAAGAGAAATACAACATCCAAATTAGATATTTTAATCTTCCATAGGTTGATTCGAACACAGGCATATGTGCTGCTCACTTTCCATGTGAGCAGACCTTTATAAAACTGGAATAATGCCAACTCGGATTATCACGTACAACACGCAAGACTGTAAAACAGCTACGGGTCAGCTACTTCAACTTCTGTTTGTCGAAGGCAGACAGACGCGGAATACTGGTTATGAAGGCGTGAAAAACAATAAATTATTTCGAAATTGGAAGAATCTATCGGAATTAACATTTCAAACCAAACTCTAGCGGAATTATCCTCCTTTCTGTATACACTTAGTTCGTCTTGTCTTCAGCAACACTTCTTACGGAAATATAAATTAAACACAGAAGGAGCTAGAAGGGAAACCCGAGTAAACAACAGTATCTCTATGGTGAAAGTGAGCAAATAAAATAGTATGAACTCAATCAGTGAAATCTGGCAAAGCAAAACCTTCCATCTTGCTCGAATCTTGCTGTTTTGGATGACAGAGATAACAACGAATCAAGTAAATCAACTGGTTGATGTGGGAATAATAAAAATCACCCGCTCGACGGTTTGACTATGAAGTGTGGCGTGACGAAGCAGCTGCATGAACAATTAGTCGCTTGATTCAACTTTTCGATCCTTTTTAAATACCGTAGAATACATGTACGAGCTCGAAACGTGCTCAAACATCCAAGGAAACGGCGCTGAAAATACCTCTGAGATTTTTATCGATTAAAATAAAGTAACTGACTCTGAAAGGGCAACGAAACGGCAGGATCAGTTTTACCTCAGTTACCACATTTTGCCGTGATGACTCACATTGCCGGAAAGTGGGTTCCATGTGTCGGTGTAGGCCTTAACTACATGCACCTCATTATCAAAAAATGCCACATCATGCGAAAGAAGACTACTTACAAAAAGAGTACTTCAAATGACTGTAGAACGATTCATGTTGTTAGATCATGATCATGACACAGCGAATTTTGTTTTTCCGTGCCACGCGCGCCGTACTGGCACGTGTTCGTGACCGAAGCCTTTCAGTCATAATAAATATTTATCACACGTAACAAATTCTCGTACTTGTTGGAAAACGCGGAAGAAAAATATGGAGACACGTACAAGGAGACTATTATTGTGAGATTTTTATCCGGTTACGTGACAGGAAAAGTGTAACAGCTTTGTTTAAAACTGGGGAACGTGACTACTGAAAGATCTGAAAGATGTCACAATGTGAATGATCTGGTTACCGTCATCTACTCAGGAAGAAAAATTATCAGTTTGACGGTGCAATGTGATAATGATCCAACTTAATTTAAAGAAAAAAAATTGAAAGGCTTGCTTGCTCCATTCGCCTAATAGGAGGAATCAAAACCTGCCAATTATGATATTTTGTTCTCATTTTGCCTGAAACCGTAAACGTATAACGCCGTTTCTGTAGAGGAAATATTTCAAAGGATTTGCATTTTAAAAGAAATAAATAACAAACCAATTAAGGCATGTCAGGGGCGCTGGAGTGAATACAACTCGAGATAATTCATCAGCAGTGCTAACTTATTTCATGATATCAGGCTTCTTGAATGTAAATAGCGTCAGGCTACTTAGCTATACCGAATTTGACCAAATTTGGTGTGTAGTTTTTACTTGGGAGTAATCTGCTTATTAACGTATCCGATACAAGCTGCAGCGAATACCGTCCAAATATCGCGCGACACCAGTACAAATATACAGCGATGTTGTACTGTATTTGTATGGTAGAAGACCTGTTTGTCGGACAGGTCGGCGCGCGCATGCAAAACTGTCACACTCTCCCTCTTTCACTGATAAATTTATTGACTACAGCAGCTGGATAATACATTTCGCCCTACGGGCTCGTTTAAATACGGCACAACTCGTAAAGATATACGGCGATACTACATATCAAAACATTTAATAAGATACATGTATGTTAATTAAGCGTTTAGTTCTGCCACCTACCGTCAACCTCGTTCCCAGGATATATCAGACCCTGGGAACGAGGTTAACGTATCCCTTGACAGTATTAGCTTCCCACCCTGGGGGGCGTCAATAGACGGATTTTGCTAACGCGTTTACAGGCCACGTGATGATTCACTTGGGAGGTTTCAATTGTGCAATTTGTCACACACTCAACTGATTGCATGGGAGTATGTACAAACAGAACAATTGTAACCTCCCAAATGAATCATCAGGTGATATCTAAATTGCGTGGCAACAAGGATGTAAACGCTTTAACCGAATCCGTCCATTAGACTTCTATGTTTTGAATTATTTTCCCTTTATGTCATCAGTATTATTTTGTCAAAATAATTTTCTTCTCCAGTTTTTTGCTGGAAATTGTATTGTATATTTAAGTTTAGTTAAGTAATTTTACACTGTGAGCAACCCTAGGACATAGATAATTATTCAAATTCTAAAACCTTTTTCAAGTTAATGAAAGATTATCGTTATGAAATCCTAGGACTAAGGTAATTATCTATCAAGGGAGTTCATATTTTTGAGGACAAAATTATTTCACTGTTAAAGTCTTTTGTGAGATTTTTTTTATAAGCGTTAGTACAGCTTTTTTAAAAACTTTGGAAATAACTGATGATCCATCAACAAAGGCTGTCTTAGATCCCACACTGTGAAATTCCTGACCATTCCTTGGTGACCAGAATCTCACACGCCTGTCTAATATAACCTCCCGGAAAAAAAAAATCATGGCTCCGATTGTCTTCCTGAATAGGCTGCAAACAGGCTCCCAGTGAGGGCGGAACAAAAATCCGGCGAGCAAAGTGAGCCGTTTAGCGCGAAATAAAGAATTTCGCGAGCGAAGCGAGTGGCGGAATCAGCGAGCGAAGTGAATGGGAGCGGGAGAGCCACCATGCGCTCCCCTTCGTCAACCGACCGCTCTCGGCTAGCCCCGCTCGCCCTAGACCACACTCGGCTAGCTCGCACTAAACCCAACCGTACCGGGAGCCTGTTCGCAGGCTACTTCCTGGATCATTTAACTGGTGTTAAAAGTAGCACAAGATTGATGCACGAATAGAACATTGCCCATGAGGTATCGAGCAAACCGCAGTTCAACATATTTTATGGTTTCCGGTTGAGTCGGGCCTGGCCAAATGAGTAGTAAACGTTGTACGAATTTATTAGGTGAACAAACACTGAATACATCATGGGAGAGAATCTCAGAACGACATTGCCAATACATTAGCTGATAGGGGCCGATCATGAAAATTGCAAAAAAACAAAAGAAAAACAAAAAAAGACAGATGATCATAAAACTATTAAAACTGAGATTTTTAAGCAAAAACTCCAACGAGGAAACGATGTGCATATGAGAATTAATTTGTCGATATTGGAGGCTAAAATTCTTATTTAATTTCGTATTTCTTGAAGAATTCATACTAGTTTGTAAGGTTTTCACCTGGTTTCCGTTTAAATAGGTATGCTACAAAATTTATCCGAAATAGCTGAGAGGCAGTAACTATTGTCATGAAATGTCACGTTTGAAATGTCAGTGGGGTAAAATATGCAAAAAATTCTAGTTGAAGAGTCTGAACGGACTTGAAATACATTATTTTAATTCTTGCGTTTCAAAATTATTCTTCCATCGAAAGTGAAAACGACTATCATAATATCACAACGTTAACAAAGATTGACACGTTTTCGCTCTTCTTGCTATTCCGAGATATTATTGTATTCCAGAAATGCTGACAAAGCACCATAACTCACAGTCTCACGATGATAGCTGATGATGAATATTTTACAGCGACTTACAATAACAAAGGAGCATAGATCGTTTTTAATGTCCCGTTCACTTCTGCCCTCATGTTTTCGAAATTAAGTGCAAAGAACATCTCAAACAAGGTCCTCGAGTAAAAGTACTCTTGATTTTTGGCGATCGAATCGTTTTTACGCGCGTTGACAAGATATGCTTTGTGTGAATTTTAATGTGTATGCACTTCGCGATCGGAAATTGAGATTTTTAAACCGCACATTCTCACATTATATTCGCTTACCTTGAGTATGCAGTGACGCGGTGNTTATTATTATTATTATTATTATTATTATTATTATTATTATTATTATTATTTATTACGCCATGATTGGTCTCCTTTAGGGGTTTATTTTAAATTTCCGACTAGCATCCCCACGTTTTCATATGCTAAGTCCCTCCTCCCCGGACTACATGTATCAGTCAGTCAACTCCTTCCAGACAATAAATATCGAATATATCAGTTAATTTAAAAGTCAACTAAACTAAGCTCGAGTTCCAGCCGCGTTTCGGGAGACGATCCCGCGGGAACGGCAAAGACCGACGATACGCGAGAGAGCGGCGGAAATCGAACCTAACTTAAACTCGCGATTAAAAAAAATCTCATGACCCTGAGTGAGGATTTTTCTTCTAACAAAGGAAGTGGGATGCGGCAGGCGTTTGCACACAGAAAGCAGACTATCCCAAATAATGACCTAATTATCCGGCATTTGAAAATTCTGGATAGTTCTGCCTGCCGGCAGGGCTTGTTCAAATATTTGCACTAAATATTTTATACAGAGTGTGATATCTAATATGGCGTGCTTTGTAAACCCATATACGCCATATACAAACGCGAACAAGAACGAGATTGGAACACCCTAAGAAGTAGTTAAAAGACACGACGCACCCCCGCCCTTTCCATATGGAAGTTCCCTACCCCCAGGGGGGAGCACAATCTAATCATAAGCATAACGGTAGTGAGGACGCCCACAACACAACCATAGGCACAATTCGTCCTTGAGGCGTTCGTTCCTTACATCGCAAGCTCGACGAAACGAGCGACAGTCGATAGTTCCGTTTACAGGCTAGATTTTGATTGGTTTTAAAAAACAATGGGAATGGGAGGGGAAGGAAGAAAAAAACACCAGCATCTTGATTGAGCCACGTGTTTCTCAGCTACGAATGCGCAATTCAATTTAACCGGATGTCTGATATTTTTGGACCTGAAATCAGATCCTTTCGTTCGTTTCCTGACCGTCGGTCAAGACGAACGAAGACTCTGGTTACGTGGGTGGCATAAGCACATATATGATGAGCACATAAGCAAGCGCAGAATGGATAATAGCCTTGATTTCGGTTCCATAAGTTCTCTATTTTGATCTTTCCCCAGCCTTTAGTGCGTGTTGCCCACGCGCAAGGTTAATATTTCACTAAGCTGCGATCTCCACGAACCCACATTTAAACAAGATGGCGGACGTATAGACCTTATTGATAAATGGCTGCCGATTAAAAATTCTTTTGTAAGTATTAAAATTAGCCCAACTAACCTTGTTTTTGAGCTGATAATTCAAAAAAAATGTTTACTTTCAAACGAGGTTAGTTGGGCTAATTTAAATACATACAAAAAAATTTAAATTGGCAGCCATTTATGAACAGGGTCTAACGCTTAGTGAATTTGTTCTTCAATTATCACTGGGTGGTATGACGTATTTATACTATTATAACAACGTGCAGCTGTCTTGTTTAAGGTTTGAAAGACTAGTAGATTTATAGCATAAAACCAATTGAAAGGCTGACCGGACGGTTGGAAAGGGTAAATTTAATACCCAACATTTCGGTTAGACAGGACTAACCTTCTTCAGGGGCTACACTGAATTAAGTACTTAGCTTCAGTGTAGCCCCTGAAGAAGGTTAGTCCTGTCTAACCGAAATATTGGGTATCAAATTTACCCTTTTCAACCGTCCGGTCAGCCTTTCAATTGGTTTTATGCTATATTTTACCCTGCTAATCCTGATCTAAACCAAGATCCGCCTTCACTCCGCTGCCGTTTGTACAAGTTCTCCTTGCATTGCAGTTTATCCGATTGTAGATTTATACTAAAACAATAAGATTATTTGTTCTCGATTTCTATGCGTGATGGTTGACTCGCGATCACGCTACGCCCTCGCGCGCGAGACAGCTATCACGCGATAGCAATTGACAGCGAATAATACAATTGTTAAACATTGTTAACACTAAGTTATAAGCTCAAACATTAATATGTCAAGTCACATAGTGCCTACTTACTCATTCTTGCGTTTTTGTTTCAAGGATTCTTCGCTTTTTCAACACATGACCGGCGACAGTCCCTAGGCAAGCACACGAAAGCATGTGTTTCTCCAAGTACATCCCTTGGAAGAGAAATACAACATCCAAATTAGATATTTTAATCTTCCATAGGTTGATTCGAACACAGGCATATGTGCTGCTCACTTTCCATGTGAGCAGACCTTTATAAAACTGGAATAATGCCAACTCGGATTATCACGTACAACACGCAAGACTGTAAAACAGCTACGGGTCAGCTACTTCAACTTCTGTTTGTCGAAGGCAGACAGACGCGGAATACTGGTTATGAAGGCGTGAAAAACAATAAATTATTTCGAAATTGGAAGAATCTATCGGAATTAACATTTCAAACCAAACTCTAGCGGAATTATCCTCCTTTCTGTATACACTTAGTTCGTC